TTCAGCAGGGTCCCCAGCTTGGGTGACCAGTGGGGACACTCTTGAATCACTGGCTCTGATCCATGCCAGGCTCAGAGGTGACAGAATGGAGGTGGTTGCTTCTGTCTTCAATATACACTAGCTACTCGCAGTAGGTCGCAGTATCCAACACTCTTGCTGGATCTGGGGTCCACCACGCATGCCGGAAGGGACTGTTCTTCTCTTCACCTAGCTGCAAAACCCTCCTCCTCTGCCACGCTGCCTCAAATCTCTTCTGACTCTCCATTTGCAAACTGCTTCCCATGCCCCTGCCTCCAACCCCACCTGGGACTCATTGTCTCCTAGCTGAGGGTCTGAAGTTCCCAACACCTCTACCGGCCCTTGGCAGGCCCCACCTGTCTCCTCGTAGCCCCACAGCTCAATGGTGACAGTTGGCGTGGGCAGCACGGAGGTGTTCCAGGTGAGGCTGAGGTTCCCAGTGGTGTTGGAAGTGCCGTAATATTGCCAGCGGGTCTCGTTCACCAGCTGGCTCTTCTCAGACTCGGATACTTTGTAGGGATGGGCTGCGCAGGGGTGACGAATGAGAGGGGACTTGATGGCACAAGAGACCTGGAGGACTCTGAGAACCTCTCAATAACAAACACTGAAAGCAGCTAGGTGACAGTCTCCCTCAGGGTCTCTCGGTGGGAAGACACCATGGCCAGGAGAGATGAAGGCCTGGCCTGCAGAGCTGAGGACCCAAGCCAGATTCCAGCTCTCATTTGGCCCTTCCTCAGCCCCTTGCTGAGGGACCATCAGGGGCCAAGTCTAGGCCTGAACCATCTTGATGGGGACCCCACAGCTCCAACTCCTTGTGGGCTGGGCCTCTGGCCTAGATGCCATGGGTGGAGTAATGACAGAAGCCCTCACCCAAGGGACTGGTTCAGCCAGAGGGACGGGTAGGCAGACTGGGTGTAGTATCAGTATACATGGATTAACATTGGGGAAAGTCCCCTGGCCTTGGGCTGCGGATGGGAACCAGGGCCCACGGGAGGGTGGGGTCTATGGGCTTAGAGCCTAGACCAGCTTGGCAGAGTGAGGGCTCACCAGCAAGCCAAGTGCCTGCACGAGGGAAGGAACGGCCGTTGTCCAGTGAGACAGTGAAGGGAATGTGGCCACTTTCATAGAGCAAGGGTGATATACAGTGTACTCGGGTCAAATTGTCGATATAGCCAAGGGTCTCGATACTGTCCTTAAACCTGAGGGAAAGAGATGGTAGAGTCAGCCTGAGCCAACAGCTCAGAAGACTTATACTGCTCCTTAGGGAATGGATTATCCTAGGTGTTCCTTTATCTTCCTGTGTGCCCTTGGTCCCAGGGTGCTACCTCCAGCTCCCCACTACACATATGGGGTTGAGAGTGTGGGAGCCCCGATGACCCAGCTGCTTAGGTCCCCCTACCTGCAAATGACGCCATCAGTAGAGCCAGGCCACTCCAAATGCTGCACCATGAAGTCTTTGCCACCCATCATGGAGCCCGAGGTGGGTGAAATCTCTAGGCAGTAGTCCAGAAAGTCTTCACAACAGGTGCCGAGGCCAGAGCAGGTCGGATGACAAGAGCAGAGTCCACCCTGTTCCCCACAGCGCAGGGAGCAGCTACTCTGGGCATCTGGAGAAGAAACTCTCGTGTATTGGGGTCAATTACCCTACACACAGGGCCTGTGTACCCTGGAGTCCAGGAGAAGCCTCAGTGGATGTTGACCAGGAATTGCTCTGGCTACCAAATGACACAGTGGAAAGCCATTGGTTCATCTTAGCACATAGCCACCATTCAGGGTCCAGGAGGGAATGGTGTCTAGGTTGAGCTTTTCCCATCTTTTTCTGGGGGTAGTGTAACAGTTGAATTCCAGAGAGCCCCACCCTCTGTAAAGGCAGCCAGGACACTCCCTTTTAGGGGACAGGAGGAACATTCCAGTGAGGATTCCAGCACAATGTAGTTTGGGTGTACACCACAGGCATTGTGGACATCCTGTTCAGGCCTTCCGCTGTGGGCTGTGGAGACCTGTGGCAGGGCTAGATTTCAGCCCAGGGATGCAAGGCCAAGACCGGGGTGGGGTGTTAAGTTCTCAGGCCAGAGCCCATCTCCCAGCAGGCTCTTGCCAGGCCCTTGATGAAGGAGGTCCACCAAGAGCCAGGCCCGGGCCTCAGCCACCAGCCCCACTTCGCTAAGTGGAGTATTTGCACACCAAGAGCAGCAATAAATATTTATTGGCTAAGGACTCAATGACTGCAAGGGGTGTGGGAAGATGCTTCAAGATGCCAGGAGATAAAAGTATCAAAAGGGCGGTGACACTTTCCTGTGATGGAAGATAGGGTGAGGCGGGGGACTGCGGGCTGATAACTCCCAGCTCAGCTCAGGGAGAGGCTGAGGCAGGGGACTGTGGGCTAGTAACTCCCAGCTTGGCTCAACCTTCTCGCTAGATTTTCTTGATTCAGCTGATAGGGACCAGCACAGGGATAGACAGAGGCTGGAGCTCCGTATGTGATCACACCCTTCACTGGGGCTGGGAGTGCAGGCCAAGGACTCTTGGGTCCCCCGCTTCCTTCCTAGACCACGTTTTTAAGTGTCCAGGGAGTGCAGGATGATGAGCTTGAGTCAGACCTCCCATCTCTACCAGAAATGTCTAGAAGCAGAAGCCTCAGGATTTCTTCCCAGTACTCCCCAGCACAGCCACAGATGGACTACCAGATGGACAGACACTGAACCCAGAGGGGTGTCTGCTTAGGGCCTGCCTGCCTGATCAGGCAGATAAACAGGGAGGGCTCAGAGGGCAGAGTGGGGCATACCTGCTGTGGACTTGGGGCCTGGGATGGTCACCAGCAGCATCAAAATCCAAGGCAGGAGGGCCAGCTTCATGGTGAGTCCTGGGTGTGCAACCAGCAGCAGGCAGCACAGAGGCTCAGATTGCAGGACGGGATCCCTCTCTGCTGGCCTGGCTCCGCCTACCGGCCCCGCCCAGCGTTCTGCGGCACCACTCCTCTCCTTCCCTCCCCCCCTCCTCTCAAAGTCCACAGGTGCCCTTAGAGACTAACAGCCTGATCTGCCTAGCTAGCACATTCTTGTTCCATCGGCACAGCCTTGGGACCCTGTGTGCGCATGAGGGGCTGGAGTGAACAGGCATCAAGACCTTTGGCACGTGAGAAGCCAGCTGGCGGACACTGCAAGACAGCTCAGACCCTGGGTCACACAGTCCAGTCTTGTGTGCGAGGCTTCTGCAGGGTAACTTAGTCCTGGTCCCTTCAGGACAGACGCAGGCCTCTGCTTTCCTTAGGGAGGTGTTGCTAATGCCCACTCGGCCTGACGGAGGTGGAGCGGGACTTAATCTTCTTGGCATGCAAGGTGCTTGGCATGGACTTGAGACTGGGTCACTTCTGATTCACAGCAGGCTTTAGAGGAGCCCAGGGCCCTAGTGTTGCCATTCGGCAAGCTAACATACCCTGTTCTGGGTTCCTGAAGCTTCTGCAGAGAAGGAGCCGGATGGAGACCCTCTCGTGGCTCCTGGTAGTCCTTGATGCCAGGGTGGCCCATGAAGGCCCCCAAGCTTGGGCTTGTTACAGGAGAGGGAAGCTGCTGTTTCTCAATGCAGACACATTGGCTAGCCTCAGGGGAGGAGGAGGTAGGCAAGTTGGCCAATGAGCCGAAGTCTTCTGGTCTGGTTGGTGATCCTTCTCTGTTCCCGGGTCTCCGCCAGCCCATTGTTTCAGGCCTTGTCCCTTCTTAGTCAGGGCTGGAGCTCACCTGTGGATCTCCCTTGAGTGAGGAAACCTGTGGTCAGGAGCGGAGCCAAGCTGCTCCTAAAGTGACCATGTCCCCACGATACCTGCCAGCTCCACAGGTCTATGTGGTGAGAAGTCTCTCAAGGCCTTCACGCTTACCTTCCAGAGCAGGAAGAGAAGCTGTGTGCACACAGGTCCTGTGGCAGAGAGCAGCCTGTGCCAGTGTTCCGGGCCCAGGCCTGATATAGGTAGGCACAGAGGCTTGGTTGAGTGCCTGCTGTCCCTGATTTCTTGGCTCTCCAGAGGGTTGGTTGTATGAGGACTCAACTTGGGCCTCCATGTTTCTAGCTCCAAAGGGTCTGGACTAGGGATCTAGGTCTGGTTGAGTTTCTTCCTTCTCAATTGAGGGCATGTGCCCAGTCCATGAAGGCACAAAAGGGTACCTCATCTCCATTCTGGCCTAGAGCTTTCAAGGAAAGAAAAATAGGGCCCTAAAGTGCTGTGGGTGACAGCCATGACAGGCAGGTATGGGCCCCTGGAACCTCAGTATCTCCAAAATGAATGGCATGGAGCCCAGGAAAGGGCAAGGGCCAGAATCATGACTCTGATCTGGTGTGGTCTTAAAAGTTAACTTTTAGCCAAGTGCTGTGGCACACACTTGCAACCTTGGTCAGGAGCCTGCCTGGGCTTCACAGTCTCAGGGCTTCAATCTGGTCTCTCTCCCCAGATCTTACATTTTTATTCTGCTTGCATGTATGTCTGTGCATATGTGTGCAGCGCCTGTGGAAGCCAGACGGGAGCACTGGATCTCCTGGAACTGGAGTTAGATCTGGATGTGGACTGTTGCGTGTGTGCAGTCAGGGCTCTTAGTGGCTAAGCCAAACCATCCAGCTCCCAAATCTTACTTCTGAGCCGGCAGCCCACACATACTCTGTCCCGGCTCCACACCTGTGCAGCTGGTCCTCTCTGGGAGGAGTTATGATGAGGTACACCTCCCAGTTCCTGAGCTACCTTCTTCCCCATAGTGCCCTTCTGTTAACTCCTTGGCATCACAGTAGGCTCTGCCTTCCTTGTGTTCTTACACTTAACACCATAGGAGCTCCAGGAAACCCGGCACCCTCTCAAGCACTGGTCCACCCTCACCAGGAGTCTCCCCAGAGTCAGCAGTCCAGGGGTTTCTGAACAGTACTCCCTGTCTGAGAGTGGAGGGGGGGGGGCAGCCCCTGCACGAGGTGACCGCCCCCAGGGTAAGTAAAGAAACAAAGACCATTTTCCCAGCTTTATTAGAAAAGAAACAATGACAAAAAGGGTATGGGGTGAGCTAGACTCTTGATGCTGCCACCAGAACCCACGTTAGTCTGTTTGTACAGAAAGTCAGTATTCATAAAACAAAACAAAAAAGTGCCAGCCCTGCTGTGTAGACCACAACCAGTTCATCCTCATGTGCCTAAGATAGCTCTCATCTTCCTTTGGACCAATACACTGGGCGGACAGCCTCAACCAGGGCAGGATGCTGTAAAGAGGGAGCCGGGCAGGCTTAGGAGACCATGGGAAAAGGTACCTCACATGGGCTTCTGGCCTTGCTCAGGGTCTGGACCAAAGGGATTCCAGGCCTAGCTGTTGCTCTGGGTATGGCCGTAGGGGCTCTAGGTGGCCCCCTCATATGTCCATATAGTCGTCATCCTCGTCTGTCTCACTCTCCAATGAGGACTCCTGGCTGGATGTCTCCAGAACCTCCAGGGCTGGCTGGCACAGGCTCTCCTTCCTCACGTTGGCAGCTGACTGGGCGGAGAGGATGGCTGACTGCACACAGGGCAGGGAAGAACATGGTCAGGAGTGACCGACTTTACCCTGAACCTCTTGACATTAACCCAAATTCTCACCCAGGCCTCCCCGTAGCTCAAGCCCCTTCGCAGACCTCCAGTATCATTAGCCCCTACACCAGGCCCCCTGCCTGGTACCCAGTTACCTTCAGCTTCTGCTTGGTCTCCTCCGAGATGCTGCCTTTAGGGGAAAGCAGGGTCGGGGTAGGTGGTGTGACGGTGATCTCAGGGGGAAACTTGGTGGTGGCTGAAGGGATCACCAACTTTGGCATGTTGGACAGGAGGCGGGATTTGGCCCTGCTGGACTCAGTCTTGCCTTGATGGCTCTCCGGTGACTGGGTACTTCCGCTGCTGGGGACCTTAGTGCTGGTGGCTGTTGGGAGACCTCAGAGTTTGAGTTCACTTGCCTGCTTAGTCTTCCCTTCTCGCTAAGAACTCAGTTCCTCCTACGGAAGTCAGAGAGCCCAGCTTTCTGCCTATATTGACTGTTAGGGTCCCAGGCTCAACTCTGGTTGCAGACCTTGGCACACTAGGTTTGGACTTGCAGCTTGGAGCACCCTGGGCTCTGAGAGCATCAGAGGCTCCAGCAGTTTCTCTGAGGTTCCCCAGCACCAAGAGAACACAAACCCGCTGTTGCATCTTCTGAACTATTCCATTCCAAGGGGAACACAAGCTGGCCCCAGTGCATACTTTTTCTCTCTCACTCCAGTATGAGTAAGGAGCTGAGTCTCCTGGAGGCAGTCAGGGCCATAGCAGACTGCAGATCTGGAACCTGGCAGCCTCCAGGGAGCTGCATGAACTGGGAACAACCCAGCTGCCCTGGCATGACTCCACATTCTTTTAGCCTCATCTCTTTAAAAGGAGTGGGAGCTTATCCAGAGCCCTGCTTGGTCTTTGCGAGCTGGCGCCATATCCTTCTATCCCGAGTGGTCTAGGGGAGACCTGGCCAAGCAGTCTCAAGGAGCCTGACTAGGAGAGTGGCTGGTGGGTTCCCACAGAGAGGCGATCTCTCTGCTCTGTACAGACTTAGCTGCCCACAGAGAAACCTCGGTGACAGGCCCAAGCTCCTCCCCGTACAGAACTGCTCCTCTGGGCTTAAGAGAGACTCCACACCCGGTAGGACCCTTCTGTGGAGCTGGGGTGAAAGGAGGCTTTAGGGTCCCAATAGGTCCCTGCTAGACTCTAACCAGGGCCTTTCCTCATCTCTCTTCCAATCCACCAAGCTGGATGGATCCTCTGTGGGGAAGCCTACCTAGGGCTGTCATCTGAGAGCAACCTGGCGGGAGCTGGTGCTGGGCTCCCCTCAACTAGCCTTACCTTGGCTGCAGGTGGGCTCAGCACCTGTCTGGCAAGCAGCCTCCACTGGCCAGCAGTGCTGCTCAGTCAGGGGACCTGTGGCAGTCATTTTCATCTGGTGCCGTGGCTCTTGGGGTGGAAAGCTGGTACCTTCTGTTGTTCCTGACAGCTGCTCTTCTATCTCTATGGAGACACAGGCAAACTGCAGGTAACAACCCCATTCCGTGGGAGTTGGGGACAAGTCCCTCTTCCCAGATCCCCACATTTCTGTGACAGACTATGCCTTAGGACATGTAACAGGGAAATGTGGCCAATATGGGAACACTGGGATAAGGTGGCTCTCCATCCCCACAGCCCTGACTAGTCTTTACAGTCTGGTACCATGTCCTTTCATCTTGAGTGACAGTCTTTGGAAAACCTGGCTAAGAGATCTTGAGGAGCCTGACTGGTAGAGTGGCTAGTGGGAATGAGAGAGAGAGAGAGAGAGAGAGAGAGAGAGAGAGAGAGAGAGAGAGAGACAGACAGACACTGACTGACTATGTCTGTGCCCTGTCTCTGCCCACAGGAACTCACCTCTTGCATCTAGTAAGATACTACCACAAGGCTGTCAGGGGTGGGTTTATATGTGAGGAACCTAATCCCTCTTGTGGCTCATAGGAGTAGGAATCACAACCAGAGTCAAAACCACCAGCTAAGACCAGTAGACAGAGAACATGAGGGCACCATGTCTTCCTGCTGGACCGAATCCCTCCTTGTTTGGCACAAGGCAGGAGTCTGGCACTGGTCAAGTGTGCCAGAGCCTGAATGGCATTAAGGGACAACTGTGTACCTGTATTATCAGCTAGGATCTGCCTCCCACCTCCTTCAAGTTCACAGTGGTCTTGCAGGTGGCTCTCTCCTTCCGCTCACTCAGGTACACTGTCTGCCCAGCTCTCACTCTGCCCCCTAGGCTTCTGCCAGGACAGCTGCCACCCCCTTCCTCGGGCAGGGAAGAGGCAAGGGCCTGAGTGCCACGGAACTGTCCCGCCCAAGTCTCCACAGAGCTGTTCCAGGAGAGGAGCTCTTGCTATGGAGCTCAGGATAGGTCCATGGGATTATTCAGTTTCAGCCTCCTGAGGAAGGGCTATACCACCACACCCAGCTTGAAGAAGGCCATAGCTTACCTGACCCGAACCACTCCCTCTCCTGTCTTCAATGCCTGGCAGTTTAGGTCACAGGCAAACAATGGCTGGCAGCATGGAGCAGCTCAGGATTCCACTGCAATGTTCCCAGCACCACCTCCCATGTGCAAGGGAAGGCCACCAAACTGCCTTCCCTGGGTCCTGACCCAATGCCATATCCATCCATAGGGAGCAGGGGTTCCCTGAGTAGCACAGGTGGGGGGTCTGAGTTGGGTGAGAAGGCCCATGCACTCGATTTCAGCACTTGGTGGATGGAGACAAGAAGGCCTGTGGCAAGCTAGAGGCCAGCCTGGACTACCGAGACCCTGCCCAAAAAGTCAAAACCAAACCAGAGTATCCAAGTTTCTAGATGATATGGGTCAACAGGCCTGACTTCCCTGAGGTGGGCTCAGGCACACTCTGGGTAAGGCTTCCCCTCATGCCAGGATGGATGAAGGCTGCTTAGTGTGCCCAGCTGTCAGGTGCCTTGCTCTTCCAGCCCTGCAAACAGCAGCCCCAGGTGGTAGACTGTCCCAAGTCCTCCCTTCTACTGTTTACTATTCAAGGTCTTCACCGGTAACAGCAAACACTGGCGAGAATTTCGTTTCCCTCTATTTCCAAACACCCGAAATATGGACAGACACTTAAAAACCAAAACTGGTCATGGAGTCACACAGGACCACCTCAGGACCATGGGGAGCCCAGGCTTCCTTTCTAGTAAGATGCTTGCCGAGCATGGCCACAGGGTGCTGTTAGCAAAGTGTTCCTGTTCCCTGCCGCAGATTTCAGGTCTGGCACCAGGTCGGGGATGATTGTCCTGGGAGGCATGGGGCCTGGCTCAGACTTCCCCTGGACTCTCAGGACCTGCATGAAGCCGACATCTTGGCATCTCTATACTGTTTAGGGCAATTCTTCTCCACATGCTGTCCTAACTCTACTCTTTACATGATGGCTTCAGGAAAAGGGACTCTTCTTCATTAAGATGGTGAAGCTGGGCACAGGCTGAGGCTACTTAGTCAGGCAGCAGCAGGCAAGATAAGCTGGGGCTGCATGGTAGCAAGGCAGAAGGCAGAGAGCCCTCTGCCTTGGGGAAAGCCCCACTCCTCAGCAGCTGCCCCCTGGCTCTCCCATATGTACCTTGGAAGGGTGTCCTGTAGTTCTTGCTCTCAGGTAGGTATCTCAGCCTTCACTTAGTCCCACTTTCTAACCATCTGCTACTGAAGTCCCCCACTATGGCTGTCACTAAGCAGACTCTACCATCAAGAGAAACAGTGTACCCAGCCACACGGCTACACTAGCCTGTCAGGAACCTGGAGTTGGTGATGCTCTTTCCATGAGGGCTCGACTAGTTCCAGAGATGGAGGGTGTGGGCTTAAAGAGATTGGTCTGTCCCAAACTGGTCCCAACATCACCCCCACAAAGCTCTGGTGTCCATGGGAAATCCCTACAAACATCACATGCTGATACGGGAGTAGGGGGCAGGCTCGTTCGGAATGTGAGTGTGCCTGGGATGCTCTGCCAGGCCTGAGTGGGCACAAGTTTTTGCTGAGTGCTGTCTCTACCCCATGTTCATTATATTGCTCCCGTGGTAAAAAACCATTTAGTCTAGTCTTGGGGGAATAACTCTGGTGAATAGATACCCAGAAATAGCAGGTACTCTTTCCCGGAGCTAACCTCCAAAGAGAAAATGTGAACTGTGAGATTTTGCTTGCTTGGTGGCAGACAGGTGAGGGAGGCTGCCAGCCAGCTTTCAAGTGGTCTTGATGTCTACCGGCTGTACCTACCAGAATAGCTGATACCAACAGACAGGAGCAATATGTGGCCCGGTGATGCTCAACTCTTCAGAAACTAGGTTGTAAGAGATGCTATAGCTTCCTCCCCACTCTAGCAGAACTCTGGCTCTCAAGGTAGGAGAGCACTAGGTTGTCAACAGAGAGACCCACAGGAGAGAAGACCCCAGTAAGAACCTGTTTCCCACACAGGTGATCAGCCACAGACAGCTGCATGGGAGACCTTGAACTAGGAATATTCCACCTACAACACTGGCCTGGAGCCCCAGTCCTCAGACTCTCCAAAGTCATGGAGAACATGGGTTAAGCAGAGGGTGATACAACCTGAGGTGAGGGGCAGGTGAGGTCCTTGTGGGCCCGTGCCCCCGCCCCTCTGAACTCACCGCCACCAGCACAGCTCCGTTTATCTGCTAAGTGTGATTAGAAGGGCTCAGACTCCTGGAGGCAGAGCCTAGCACGCGTAGCTTTCTGACTTTTCTGGGTGGCACTGGGGGTGGCACCCAGAGCTTTGTGCATGCTAGCCCGAGCCCACCTCAGATCTGACTGCTCTGTTTTGTGGACTTCAGAGGTTCCTTTGGAACAAATGGTGACAGAGAGTATAACTGTGAGTAACTCGGAGCCTACATGGGCACAATCCTTGAAGTAACCTGGGGAGAGCATGAAAGCCCCAGTCACTGAGAGGGGCGCTTCCAACCCAGCCTCCCTACTATGCAGATGAGAGGGGAGACCACACAGTCAAGGTCCAATGCCTGCAGGCGGCAGACCCAGATGTGACCCACAACCACAAAACTATGACTAGGAGGTCAGGCAAGCCCTAAGGGATGGCTCCAGGTATGCGCAGGTGACCCTGTGACATGGAACCCAGGACACAGACCAGGTCTCAAAATGGTAAGAGAAGGAAGGGTGGGCAGACTGGGGCAGAGAGCTAAATCTTAGCTATTTCAGGGTCTCCCGAGCCTGGCTATGGTGCCAGCATACTGGGAGTCAACCAGAAGCATGCAATGCCTGGGGGTTGGCAGAGTCTGGCACCATGCACAATGCCAGAGGAGTGTCTGCACTAAAGAAGATAGTGCCTTTATACACCCCCGTGTGTGTTGTCTTCATGACTCTTCCTCCTAGAAAAGTTCCAGACCACGTCCTGCCTGCCATGCTGACCACCCTAATTGGCAGCTCCTGATTAAGACAGCCTGTGACACCCCATCCTGTATTTTCTTCACAGGTCCATCTACCTGGTCCTGGAGAGTACCTGGGGCCTCAAGGACGGCTGAGGTCAGACCCTTTCACAGCAGCCCAGTCTGCACCAGCTCCTGACCGTCTTAGGTACTGTGGGGCTCTGCTGGGGCAGAGACCAAGACAACTGCACACCCCTCAGTGGTGGTGCCTGTCCCGCTCCTCCTCAGCCTTCCATGTGCAGCGAGGACAGGCACAGAGGCTGTGATGGTTTGAATGTAATTGGTGGTCATGCTCATAAGGAGTTGCACTATTAGGAGGTGTGGCCTTGCGAGGAAGAATGTTACTGTGGGGTGGGCTTTGAGGTCTCCTGGGCTCAAGCTACTCCCAGTGCCACAGTCCACTTCCTGTTACCTGCAAGATGTAGGACTCTCAGCTGTCTGTCTGCATGCTGCCATGATGATGATGAGGGACTAAAGCTCTATTGTAAGCCCCCCTAATGAAATGTTTTTCCTTTATAAGAGTTGCCGTGGTCATGGTGTCTCTTCACAGCAATAGAAACCCTAACTAAGACATAGGGCAAGGTTACCAGAGTTATGGACACAGGCAGTTCCAACTAGGCCATAAATAAATACTGTCAGCAACTGATACTAGACTAGCAGCTGACTGCCCCAGGGTTTCCCCAGGGGTTCTGGAGAGCAACCCCCATGCCTCTTTGCCAATCCCACAGGGAAGGATTGCTGGTAAAGGGGACTAGGCTCTGGGAAAGCTGAGTATGAAAATCTCAGGTTGCCATGTGGATTGAGATGGCACTTACCAGGACTCAGAGAGGCCATGCTGGTGGTAGCCTCTGGTCTGTGTGGCCGCAGAATTCCAGGATCTGCGGACAGGTCTGGGGTAGAGGCTGATGTGGAGGGAGGGCAACCGATGACAACGGTGGCAGAAGACAATACAGTCTGAGGCTTGAGGTGGGAGTCACTGGGCCGCTGGAGGGCATCAGCTGGCAAGGGGTCAGGTGCTGTGGGGGCTACTGTGGCAGGGAAAAAGTTCTCTCTACTGTCCTTGGGGTGCTTGGGGGTGGTGGGTGCGTCTCCTGAGGCCTGCGACAGCAAAGGTAAGGTGAAGAAGGTCAATGGGGCCGCCCTCTGAGCACGCATTGCCCTGTCCCACCACAGCCTAATCCAGTCCCACAGGACATTCCTTCTGGGCCCTGGAAGCCAACATAACACCATACATTACTCTGAGGTTCTTGCTGGCTGTGCCAGAGAGCTCAAACATTCTACCAGGACACAGCTGCCACCAACACACAGCCGAGAGTCTGCTCCTCCTCTCTGGAGACACCCACCATGCTTAGCAGAGCCTCATGAAGACCTGGCTCACTTCTCTGTCCCCTCCACAGTGCCAGTCGAGAAGGACCCATTCACCTATATCTCTATGGAGGATGTAGGCCCAATCTTGGGGCTGGAGGCATGGGTGGTAAACCTACGAGAGTGACTTTCCAAGGGAGAACAAATGAACTAGTCTGTTCCCCAAGCTTGAGATCCTCAGGCCTAATGCTACTAAATTTGGCCACACAGGCCTTTCTTTCGCCTGCAGCCTGGCCTTTGGTTTCCGGGAAGCCCTTAGAAGCCTCTGACTCTCCACACAGTTCCCTTTGCCTTGGTACCCATTGGTGCTTTCTCTTCTGACATGTTTCTCCTAAGATGTTTCACATGATGGGGACAAGTCTGCAAGTTCTGCTTCTGGTGGCTGTCTAGTGCTGGGAGAAGTTAGTTCACTACAAGATGAGGCAGGAGGCCACAGCAAGGCTGGCAATGCGCAAGAGGGCAAACACGAGTCAGAGTGAGGGCTACTTGCCTGCCTGTCTTCAGTCAGGAACAACCTCAGCAGCAAGTGACTGCATCTAAGGAGGCCCACGGTGCTTTCCAGAGACACACCAGGCTGCCACAGCAACAGGGACCCCAGCAAACAAAATGGAAATTCCTAAAGGGGCAGAAGCTCTTGGCTCTAAATGCTGGTGTCTTCCTAATGCTGGCCAGAAGTAGGCCTAGGCTAGCTCTAACTGTCTCAACTGCTCTTCTCAAAGTGCAGGCTTGTGGGACACTCTTTGGGAAGGGGTGAGGTGGAGTGGCTTTGGAAAAGACCCGGAAGAACAGCCTGCCCGCAGTCCCACCCCCTGGGATGATTATGGGATAGTAGGGGACGACATGAGGTTTAATGGGAAACTGGAGGGCAGCCCGCTAGGTAGTGTCTCCTCCAAGAGAGGAGACACAAGGAAAGATGCAGAGATACAAAATAGCCCTCAGACTGAGCCCTCAGACTGGGCCCCCGGGGACAGAGCTGCTAGCCAAACCCAAATGGTGTGTGGTAGTGAGAGAACCTAGGACAATCCTAGGGGCACCCCATCCCAGGGGGATCTGGGGAGTGGGTGGGTGGCAGGTCCTAAGGACCATTTGTCTGCTCTCTTCCACTCTGGCTCTGTATCCCACGAGGTGACCTGACACTGCCTAGCAGCAGGCAGTCTACCCCATTACCTAGCCTGGTGCTTTCAAGGGTTGCTGGTAGCAGCCACCACTAGTGACCTAAATGGTATCGATATGTGTAGGTCTTGGCTTCAAGTAGTCCTCTTTCCCTTTAGCTGCCTCCTCTAAGAAACCAGATTCTACCCTGTCCTTAATTTAATACTGTACCAGTAAAGGGAGGGGGTCTGGTATTTCCTGAATGTGTTTAACACTTAAGCCCATTCAAAGTCAGATATGCACTTTTTTTTTTTTCTTTTCGAGGCAGTTTCTCTGTATAGCTTTCTTTGAGTTCTTTGTCCTGGGAACTTGCTCTGTAGACCAGGCTGTCCTTGAACTCATAGAGACCCACCTGCCTCAGCCTTCCAAGTGTTAGGATTAAAGGCACGTGCCACCACTGCCTAGTGAACGTACACATTTGTATTCCCAATACTCAGGAAGCTGAGGCAGGAGACTGCCAAGAGTTATAGGTCAGCCTGGGCTACATAGCAAATCCCAGGCTTGCGGGCAACAATCAAGTGGTGAGGTCGGCTGGCTGGTTGGTCAATCCTGCCAAGGACTCTGCTTCTCATCTAGGAGGCTGACCCACAGCCTGCAGGCTCAAAGATAAGTCAATCCCTGGACCCTTAGACCTAGGGTCTGACAGTGTTGATCACCTCAGGTCCTATTCTACCAGGAGGAAGCCTGTCTGAATCCCTAAGATATCTGCCAGCTGCTGGGGCTCCTAGGACAAGGCAGTCCAAAACCACTGGGTCACTCCTAGGATGAGAAGACAGACCCACAATGACACAGACACTGACCACGCCCACTGACAAGAAGGCTGTTTTGCCTTTTCTGATCTGTAGCTCTCAAGGCTTTACAGGGGTGACTCTTTGTCCTGCTAGACCTGCCTCCAATTCCTCCTAGGCTGTTCTCCGGCAAGATTCAACATGAGCCCAGGTCTCCCCACTTTTTAAATTTGAGACAGGACCGCTCTATGTAGCCCCTTGCTGTCCTGGAACTCACTGTATAGACTAGGCTAATCTAGAACTCACAGAAATCCACCTGCCTCTGCCTCCTGAGTGCCAGAATTAAAGGTGTGCCCAACACATCTGGTCACCAGGAGCTCTATCTTTGGCCTAGAGGGGCTTCTCTCAGCCCATCCCAGGAGGATCTTACTCTCGCTGCCATCTTCCCCTGCCTCTTCGGTACCTGAATACCCTGGCTTGGGATGAGCCCTACCACACTTAGTGATTCCCCCTACAGGCTCTGCCTGCGTCCCACATTCCCTATTGCTTCGGTCCTAGTCAGGTTCTGGAATCACTCCTGTACTGGTCACAAAGGTTAAGGCCCCTCTACTTGTGAAGGAGCGAAAGCATAGCACCTGAGGACCCACATGTATGTCTGAGTCCTGTCAAGGCACTACCATGTTGGGGTTGTGACCCATTATCCAGAAGCCTAGACGCTTCCTGCTCTTTCCCCTGGGCCCATGGTGACCACAGGAACCAGCTCCAGGGCACATTTGCTTCTGGACCTGCAGTCCAAGGCATTGGTGTGGGACAGGTTCTGTATGAAGGGTGGCATAGGCTGGGGAGTTAGTGGGATGTGTGTACAAGGCAGAGCTTACGAGCTTACCTGTCTCTGGGTAGCAGCCCCAAGGTGAACCTGACAGAACTTCACAGCCTGCTCCAGTGCAGTCTCCTCGTCCACCTGAACAGAGAGATGCCTAAAATGAGGGAACCTAGGCCACAGTGCCTGACCCTTAGGTGCTATATTAACCCAGCTCAAGAAGGGCACTTCTATGTGGACTCTCCTCAGTGAGGACCACACCCAGCAACCAAGTCTCATCCATGTGGGGATGCAGCCCAAAGGCCCATGTACCAGCTGCTGCTGTTAGGACTTGTCCCAGTTAACCCTCAGGCCACATCAAGTTACTTTCCATGGCCAGTTATTTGTGTCCTTCAGGGCTGAGATTGACAGAGGCCTCAGACCCCAGTGAAGCTTTCAAATTCAGCTGAGAGCTGGGTTTGCAGTACACGCTTTTAATGTTAGTACTTGGGAGTCAAGAGGCAGGATTGAGTGTCTCAGGTCAGCATGAATTACACAGTAAGACCCTGTTTCAAAACAAAACCAGATTAGCTAAAGTGGCTGTCACAGGTTGGTTTCTGATCTACCTTGAGAGTGGGATGTCGATTCCAATGGGAGGAGCCCTCTAGAAGCCCAGGTAGGATGGTGAGTGTGTACCACAGACTAAGAGCCTAACACGTGGAGGTCAGTATGAGACTAGAGGTGTAGGGCATCATAAACAAGCACATGTGGCTCGAAGGAGATGGCCACATATTGTCAAGTGAAGATGGGGACAGGCAATGTAGGAAGGGACTGGTTCTCCCCGCAGGAAAAGCGGCCGCACCCATGCTGTTCCTAGGAATTCATGGTGGAGAGGATCTCAAAGGCGCCATGTGGGAAGCCGACCACTAGGACGGTCACCCCATCTGCCACAAGTTCTGGGGATTCCGCCTATGGGAATAATGCATCTGTTTGAGGGGTGGGGATCAAGCAGACCGAGAAGGGTGGCAGACTCTCTGGGTTGCCATGCTTAGACTCCAGTTCTGTGCCTAAGACTGGGTACCACAGTCACCCATCTCAGGAAGAGGCTCAAGTGTCTCCTCACAGTGATGGGACCGGGGCTTCCACACTCCTGTGTTGGACTTATACTGCAGTTTAGTCTTCCTTAAAGGCTGAATTCACACGTACACCTCATTGTTTTCTGAGTCTAAACTTATTGCCTGCTCATCAGAGAAAAACCTCAACAAACAAACAAGCAAAGTATACAGTGGGAAAGGGGTAGGCACAATACCTAAAGCCTACCTCCAGGGTGGGCCCCTGATACATGTGGACCCAAGAAGGAACCTTCTGGAGAACAGAAGGCTCAGGCAATGAAGGAGTCTGAGACACATGTGGCCCTGGGGTCAGGGCAGCAGCTGCCTACCTGCTTGATGAGCATGTAAGTCTCCGACATGATCTTCTCAATGCGGCCCAGGTCATAGGCCATGCTCTTCTGGCCCTGCTGCCACACTCGATAGGCATCCAGCAGGAGAGTCTTGCCAGACTCTGTATCCTCCAGGAGTTTCCTTTTGCGATTAGGCCTTGGAGGTGCTTCCTCAGGGTGGCCAACTCCCCTGGTTCCCGTAGTGGGGGGAGTAGCAGTGGTGGTGGGCGTTGCAGGGGTTGGTGTAAGTGGAGTGGGTTGTTGTCGGGTACTGATGCTCAGTTCCTCTAGAGAAAGCTCAGCGGACCGGCTCTCAGGGCCCCTGTCCCTTGGGGGACGCCCTGGAAGCAGAGGTGAAGTCTGTTCCAAGTCTGGGTGGTGAACAGTAGCCTCAATGGTGTCCATGGGTTCAGTGGGCCCTGCCTGGGGACTCTCTTTGTCTTTCCGCTCCCCACCCTGGTCTGTGCTGTCCCTTGTGTCTGTGGCCACTGGCAATTGGCTGAGAGGGCCCACTCTGCCCCCTGGCTCAGGCCCTGGTCCTGAGCCATCAGCTAGAGGTAGCTTCTTGGGTTGGGGGAGGCTTTCCTGGCCATCCTCGGGACTGGCTTTGTGTGAGACATCGGTGGTCATCCTGGCTCCGGAGTGGCCACAGCCCTTGGGTCCTGGGTGTTCTAACCCCTACAAGAAAAACAGACTAGTTACTACTGGGGGTTCGCTGAATCTCAGAGCCTCTATGGGTCTCTCGACCCAACTGCCATTCCATTCTGGTTATGCACATGTGCCAGCTGGACAAGACTGGGTTCCAGACACAGACGAGGGGGCTAGCCGAGAGTTCCATTCTCCTCTGCTCCCCTGGCATCCACCCTCCTCACATAAGGGAGTGTGGGGCAGGTCGGACAACGGGACTCTTACTCACTGCTTCTGGGATGGCACAGCCTCGTTTCCCAGGGGCGCTGTGCTGTGAGCCTTATGGGGTGCTGACATGGGAAGGACCCGTGCAGGGCCTTACTGTGGCTGCTGCAGAGACTTGTTTTCTTAGGCCCTCACACGCAAGACCTGGGCTGTGGTGTGGGAGGCTGACATACCTCTGCAAGCTCACTCAGTGTGTCCTCCAGCACTTTCACAGTGAGAATGAAAGCCCGCTGGGCCAGGACCTGGCGGTCAGCATCTCGCAGGTATTTCCTATGGTCACACAGAGACAGAAAGAATGGGACAGGGTCAGAAACCATACAGTGCAGCTAGGTGGTGAGCCAGCACTTACCCCAGGAGCACTTGGGAACACAGTCACATATTCATATTCAACAAGCCTCTGACTTGGTCCCAGTGACTGCCCAGAGCCCTCTGGACTACAGGCTAGCCGGAGATCAGTGCTATGGTGGGCTAAGTGCCAGCTCACAGAAGGCTTGGGGGCTAAGTTCCTCTCCCTTGGGTTGGTTTCTGGGATGCTTATGCTTTACTGCAAACCTAGCCTGTGTGAGTAGCATCTCTGGGTACGCCATCCCCAATCTCTACGCATGGCAGCTGTGGCAGACATCCTCTGTCTTTGTGTCCCATCCTTCTGGCCAACGAAGCCCTGAGGGCTGTTGAGGCCCAAGACCTCTGCTGCCTACCTATTTCTCTGGGGTGCCAAGGCAATTTTCTGATTGTCTACCCCTACACCCCATGCTAGTCAGTGCCTCTGAGAGCCCCACATTGGACAGAAGGGAGGGTCTAAGTGTAGAGACTAACAGCATGTAAGTCCTAGGGTGTTCGAGGCAGAGGCAGAGTACTTGAGTTCTAGATACTAAGAGATGTCCCTCAGGACAGAGGGAAGGCTGTGGCTTCTGGACCAAAAGATCCCAGAGCCAGATGGGACAGTGGGGACAAGCCTGGGAAGATGATAAGCCAGGCTGTATGTGGTGGCTCACTCACTTGCCCTGGTCTGGTGTCCGCTGCAGCATGGAAGACACCTTCAACAAGGTGCTATGGTCCCGGAGCTGGGCTAGAACCTTGAGGAGCAGCACGATGGAGCGGTTCATGTGCCAGGCAAAGCTGCCTGGCCGGTCAATCTCATCCACGGGGATCCGCCAGATGCCCTAAGGGGTAAGCAAAGGTAAGCTAAGGAACGCTGTCCCTGGAGCCCTGGGGATACCCCTCCTGAGGTCCCCTCAAGCCTGCCACTGTGTTTAGGGCCTAGCCAGGGATTTCTCAGCCCTGTCTTGCCACCCAAAAGAAGAGATGGGCGTGGCTGCCTCTACCAACTCCCTTCTCATCCAGGGCAGAGGATTGTACAAGTGAGTTTCCACGGCCGTTTTTCCAAGTCAAAGTCACACTAAGTGACTGCTTCACTCATGATCCTCCTGCCTCAGTCTCCTCTTTTGTATCCCACATGCTCACTGGACCTGTTCCCTATGGTGGCTTTCACGCTGTGCAAACATTTCTCTGCACAAGTATTGGCAAAGGCACAGGAACGACTCCCAAGGGAAGAATACTGAGCCAGAGGGGACCGGCAACAACTGCTGCTGGAGGTCAAGCCCCTGCAGTCTCACTTTCTCAACCCCAATGCTACCCAGGCCCCCACCACCTCAGTCATATCATCTGGCTTTGGTGGAGTGTTCCCATCTCTCAGTTCACATCGAAGCACGAAGTATTGCCCTCCTTCCCTCCCTGTCACCAGCACCCTTGTGGTGACAAGTCTGGCATCTGACAATCACTTGTTGGGTGCCATCACATGGATGCCAGAGGGAAGGAGTGACGAGCTGTTTGACACATGACTTCAGCCTGGAAGAAGCTGGGGGGTCCCTGTAGTCAACCTCAGAGAAGCTCCAGCCAGCCCAGGCCCTAGATCTTGACAGGCTTCATTAGAGGTTTTTTGGGTCTCAAGTGCCAGTCACAGGTATTAAAGTAGCATCCATGTGGTGCTCTGTTCTCATGGTGGTTGGCTGACTATTAGCGGTTCATACCCAGAAGTGTAAACCCAAGCTCTAGCAGGCCAAGGGGATGGGGGTGGAAGGAGGGCAGGGCATCTCAAGATGACCTGGAAAAGCTTAATGCCCTCAGTCCTTAGCACCACAGCCTCCATACTAGGCCACAAGGAGAGCCCACTTGGCAGGCTAGGGGCCGAGAATATCCACCCTCAGGACAGCAAACACCGTTATATATTCCTCAGATATGTATCTATAACAGCTTATAAAAAGCCACACAGTGTGTGTGTGTGTGTGTGTGTGTGTGTGTGTGTTACTCTCAACTACAGCAGTTGGCGTGGGAAGCAAGGACCTGCTTCCCTGCTCCTAGTGCTGAGGCTAGCCTAAGACAGACTACAGTGGCAATGAAGGTATCCACAGGTCCAGCGGTGTGAGGCTAGGAAAGGGCTCCATTTGATTATAGACATCACACACAGACAACAGACAGTGGAGCTCAGAGAGCAGGGACTAAGCCTTCTGGAGCTACAGACTCGAGGGGCTACCCAGAACTGGGTGGACCTCACCACCCCACAGCTTTGAGGAAAAGATCGCTGTGGGTATTCACAAGAATACCACACCTGTACCAACCTCCACAACTGGCTGCAGCAGCTCTTCAGTCTGGATGGTAGGGAGAGTCACCCCAAGATCTTGTGTGACCAGGTGCCCTTTTCCAGATCCCCCATGCCCAGCACAGACACACTTGGAGAGGCCTGGAATCAACCTGGATCCACAGAAGTCTCCCTACTTTATTCAGACCTCAGGATGGCAGAGGGTCTGCCTGACTTCTCAGAGATGCATTCAGAACCAGGCATGGTAGTGCACACTTCACCTCTAGTGCTCAGGAGGCAGGGGGATCTCTGAGTCTGAGGCCAGTCTAGTCAGCACAGCAACTTCCAAGCCAACCAGCAGGGCTACATGGAGAAACCCTATCTCAAAAGTCACCTCCCCCCTTACACACACATTTGCATCTGCTTTTCTGACCTGTGACCAGAGGAGCAGAGCGAGGCAGGGAAGGGGTCCTGCTCCAAGCCAGTGGTACTGGCGTGCAGACACAGGAAGGCTGAGCAAAGCACAGAGGCAGGGACCTGGGGGCCTCAGACACCAGCGAAGGGTGAGGGTGTTGGATACTGTCATGTTGTCTAACAGTTATACATACTGGAGCTAATCACCCCTGGAGGTAGCTAGTTAATTAACTCTGGTTAATTAGCAGAATGGAGTTTTTCTATATGGCACAGGGTTGCTCCCAGGACTGAAGCCTTTATCAACTGACCCCAGGGCTTTGGGTGTGCTAATGAAGCACTGTTAACCTCTGAGTACATCCCTAGTCCTTGTTTGAGAGAGGTTACACTATATACCCAGGCTGGTCTTAAACTCTTGGCCCTCCTGGCTCAATTATATATGTGTGGACCAAGCTAGGTCCCATTGGCCTTTTAAATTTCCTATCTCAACTGCCTCTCCAACTTCCCTGAGTCCTTTTGACTGACACAAGCCAGATTCCATGCACACGAGCGTTTGTTTATGTCCTTCCACAGCCTCTGCCCAGCCAATAATCCCAGTGTCTTCCCAGGTCCATGTGATATCTGGTCCCTTTTCTACGGAGTTCCTGTGGCTTGCTTTCTCTGATGTCGAAGAGATAACTCAATAACGCAAGGTCAGCCTTTCTTATGGCTTTGCAGCTGGCAGTGTGTCCTGGCCAGGTACAGGCTATCTGTGCTAGGGGAATAGATCCTAACCTTCCCCGCCTCTTTCTGGAAATTTCCATGTTCAACTGTGTGAGGCAGGAGGGAAACAACGGTGTTCATAGCAAACACAGCTCTTCCAAGCTCCAAGTGTATATGACTCCCACACTTGGGGGACATGGGAACTGCAAGAAGATAAACTGACCCTTCTCTAAGAGGCAGCCAGTGCCAGGTGACAATGTTACGGTTCCAAACAGTGTTCGAGCACGGTCCACCTGGCCAGGTGAAACTATCACACCATGAAAAAGTGAGCTGAGAAGGTGCTACCAGCAATAAATTGTGCTTGGCCACATGTAGGGTATGCTGGTAAGCAAAGGAAACCTGGCAGATGTTAAGAGGCACAGGAGGCCAGGAGTCCTGAAAAGGCTCTCATTCCTCAAGCTGAGGATTGAAGGCACAGCGCCTCAGGTCGCCTTCCCATGCAAGGGCAGGACTAGAAGGGCCCAACCCCCTCTGGGGGCTGTAAAAGACCTGTCAGGCAGGTAAGGCGGATGGCTGCAAGGGAATCACATTCAATACCAGGGGAAGAGAAAACCAACAGGGAGGGACTGTTAGCAGCAGTACTGCACCACAGCATGGCTAGCTGAGAGATCTCGCCCCCGTGTCTCCCAGAGCACCCAACAACAAAGGTATTAGTGCAGAGAGGCCAAGTTTCCGACGCACTACGCATGGGTATGGTTTGGATCCCTACCTCCTTTTCACTTCCTTTTATAACACAGCAGTACTGAATCCAGAAAGAACGAGGCAAGTCCCAGGAAGAGCGGAAAGGATCCACAGATGCCCCTGACAAATATTCCAAATGAGCCCTAGGAGGCTTGAAATCCAGCAAGTGCAGAGGCTGCTCTCTCCTGGCCCTTCCCTAGAGGAAGTAGTGCTGGAAGGCACACTTGCTGGGCAAGGTTGGCTCACTCAGGCCTCAATTTACTGCTCCACAAGACTCTTGATTTACTGGGTACCATCTCCTCCCTGTTTCCCGTTAACAGGTCCCTTCTCTTTCCTGGGCATGCAGCCAGAGGGTAAACTAGCAGGAGCCCTTGGGATCTCCTTTGCCCTCTCAGCATGGGGCTGTGTGTGCAGATGGAGACAAGCCTGGGTAGGCAGGGGAGTGTTCCTGTGGCCACCACGCTGGCCTTTGGAGACAGCTATACTGAGAAAGGGCAGAGTCATGAGCCAGCAAGATAGAAAACAAGCTAACTATGCCTTCTGCCTGAGCTAAGCAGAGTCCAGCTTCTGTGTTTACAGCTCCAGGATGGACTGGGCAGGGCCCTTTCTTAAAGGGAAAAGCTGGAACTCACCTCTCCCTGACTGCCCCACCAAACCCACCCCAGAGAAGGCATCAGAGGGCCTCTCAGGAGGAAGGCAGGTACCTAGCAGGTAGACAGCTAGTCTGTTCTATCTCCTTCACCACAGTCCACAAGTGAAAAGGGATGGGGCTAAGCAGAGGCCACATAGCACCTAGCCCAAAGCCCAGAAGAAAAAGGCACGGACCTCTGGAGGACATTAGGGGAAGCAAGGTCTGAGCTGGGCTGGAGCTAGTATGGAAGGAGCCTGCAATGGAGCTCATGCCATAGTAGGAACACACACTTGAGAGCTGGCAGCATTGCTGGAGTCAGAGGGCATCAGGGACCCCGACCCCCAAGGAGGTCCCTGTGTAGGACCATGCTTTCCTACCCCTGCAGGCATGCATGCCATCTTTAATCAGCCTCACTTGAATCCTGAGTTGTGGTGTCACCAAGACTGGATTCCCTGGCGGTCAGTGTCACTGGGGAGAATGCTTGCTCAGAGCAGTCAGGGGCCTTCCCAGCAGCCCCAGAGCACTTCCAAACACCACATTGTGCTCAAGTTTCTCCTGCATGCCAAGTACTTCATCCCAAGCATCTCAGCCCATCTCCATTCCTCAGAGTGGTTCTGGGCTCCTGGATGACCGATGAAGTCACTGAAACACACACTGGCCACTGAATAATTTATGCAGTCCCAGACTGTGGGCTGAAGGCTGGACACAAGCTCCCAAACCCTCCTCACAGTGTCCTGCTGTGGAGGCAAGCTCCAGCTCCCCCCACCCCCCCAGCAATGTGAGTCTTGGGGCGGATGGAGGTGGGGCATGGGCACTGCTGTGAGGGTTCCTGAAGCCTTTCTCAGAGGAGCAGAGAGCTGTGTCAGTGGAGGTAGTGGGTAAGCCTGAGTAGCACCCACTAATGCTCACCTACTCACAATGGACTGGAGAGCAGTGTGGGTGGACAGGCCTGGCCAGGAGCTGGTGGAGCTCTGCCTTCCATTAATGGCAATCTCGGGGAGTAGTATACTACAGAGGTAGCACACAGCATTGGCTCCTGCAGGTATGAAGCACTTTACCTGGGCTACCATCTCTTGACATCCCTGCATGCTGTAGTTAGG